TCAACGCTACGTATACTATCTACAACTGATTATCCGCAAGATGCTACAAGCGTTAGATATTAGGGTCGTAAGTTCATCCATCTGTCAGTGGTACGGGCTAAGCATAATCAATAAAGAGAGGGGGAAACGGGGGAGTAAAATCGTAAGGGTGAACGTCCGAATCCGGTCTTGTGAAATACAAAATAAACATCGATAGCGGCCTTGTTACCAGCCACCAAACCACCGAGAGGGAGGCCGCCTAGTTGCGCGGGGCCCACGAACAACCGTCCGAGTAGCGTAATGATCATCCTCGGGATCTTCGGAGACAATTTCTACCTCAGTCGTCCTTGGGCTAGAAGGGGTCGACGGAGAAGTGGCGCCTTCCGGCTTGGGGTTAGCAGCAAGGCGGGTGTTGGCGGGAGGTGGGACAGTGACGGTTTGGGTCTGGACTACAATTTTGGTTTCGGTCTCGTATGCAATTTCGGAAACAACAAGAGGGGGGAGTTCATGATACGGCTGCGAAGAAAAAGATTAGTACGAGTAAAAGGACGATTTGTGTGAAGACCACACGACCAGCCACAAGAAAATAGTGCATCACGTGTAGCGTGTTGCAAATCAGCGATCGAGAAATCGATCATATCGATCGTGTCGCGTCAACAAGTGATAAACAGCCCTCGGGCTGGTCAGTGGTCTACAGAGGACGAGGGGGACAAGGAAAGGCACCATAGTCCCCCTAGCCCGGACGAAGGAGTAAAGGGGGCGCGGACGAGATATACGGACTCGGTGATATAACGTTTACACCCTCCTTCGTCTCAAAGCTCAGAGCGACGCGGGGAGGGCGGCGGTACCTTGGCTTTTCGCTTTGCTCCAACAGGTTCATACACATATTCGTCTTCAACAGTTTGAGGATTGTCGTTTCCAAGGACACTGACACGAGAAAATGAGCGCGGGCGCGTGAAGTAACGCCCGTGAACTTACTGAAGCTGCTCCATGATCCAATTTTCACGTCGAGAAGCGTCGTGTTCCCGCCGATTAACGACCTCTTCACGTCTACTTATGTCTCGTTCCCGTTCAGCAATCTTAAGTTCACGATCAAATAGCTCCTCTGCACGTGTACCGACCCAACCAGGGGGGGTAAGAGAGTCCTCCTTCACAACCTCCTTAATCACTGTCTGGACGGGGCCAGCGACGGTTTCTGTGATGGTGGCGGCGGCGCAAGGCGGACAGGAGTTAGGAAGGACACCGCCAGGTGCACCAGCCAATAACTCTGCTTCACGACGAGCGACTTCAGCCTCGCGCTGTGCAACAGCACTCTCTCGGGCGATAAGAGCCTGAGTCCGCTTGGGAGTCAGGTACCCCAGGACACCCGATTTGGCAGAGTCAAGACCAGTGTCTGATGAGACACCGGCAGATGGCAAGGAAAGCATGACAGCAAGGACAGCAAGGACGAGGGATAGGACTAGCAGGAGCGTCGTGGAGGAAATGGTACGATGATGATGATGAGAGGAGCGTTCACGTTCTCGCTCACGGTCACTGCGGTGACGATGTTCACGGTGCTCGGATGTAGTTGGGGCCATCCTGACTACACGGCACATTGTGGGTGAGGGGGCCATGCTAAGGAATGGAAGATGCTTACTGTTGGAACTTGAACTAGACGACTCGGATGGAAGTTGAGTAGTTTGGCGTAGAATGGACGTCCTGGAAGTAATGGTGGAAACGAGAAAAGTAGTAGGAAGGGTAGCGCGGCGACTGGAAAAAGAGGAGATGGGAGTTAATAACAACGAATCCAACAATCCAAACCTGGCCAAATTTTTGCCATTTCCATTGTTCAACCAACACGTGTCGACCACGTGTTCTCCTTTTTGGTTCTAATTGTCTTCACGTGTTTGGTCACGAACAACCAACTCGGCTTTCAGTTTGTATTTTGGACTTGAGCCTGAACGCGACGACACAATGTCGCTTCGACGACTAGCGCAAGCTAACAACGCCGCTGCTAGTACGGGCTCCCCACGAAAGCCAGGATCAAGCTCGACCAACCACTCTCCTCGGCCAGAGTCTACGACCCTGCCCGCCACGCCGCGAAATCGGGCTTCTATCGGCACCTACCGTTCTCCAGCATCGACTCCTTCCATCTCGTCGTCGATTCCATTTGATTGGGATGCAGCTCGCTCGCGGAAGCCGCCTCCATATGGAACCCCGCCTCAAAACAGAGCCCGACAGAGCATCGGCGTAGGGACTCCTGTTAAGCGCGTCATTCGTAAGAAAAGCTTTGTTGAAAGGTGATTTGTAATCAATTGTTTTATGTGAGATGATTGACGCGTTTGTATTAGGATCACGTCGATTCCGTCACGGATTGCCTTTGAAATTTCTTTGTTCCCGCATAATGTACCGCTCCCAGAGGCAGCAACGTCCGGTCGACTGGCTGGAGGCGTTCTTCACTTTATACATTTCTGCGTTCGCGTCAGTCAGTCACGTAAAGTGCCCGACTCGGATCTAGGGTGGGAAGACATGTACCACGAGGGTGAGGGAACCGCTTGGTTCGACTGGGTGCGAAGGGTTGGTGTTTTTTGTTATACGAACTAACAGACTCAAAAACAGACAACGCCAGTGACGGTGCTATTATTGGCCGGGGCATTTCTCAATGCGGTATATCTATTTACACGGATAAGGATGTATCGACTGCATCAGCGGCCAGACCTGGTGTCTTCGCCCAATGCACGGTTCGTGTCTGCCCAGCTGGACTTTGAGCCACTTGAAGTGCCATCACTGGGTTCGCGTCTTAGAAGTGGGATGTGGTATTGGTTCTCGTACTCCTGGCGATGGTTGCTTGGAATGCAGTTGCCGACGCGGGTGGGACAGATCGGGGGAAAGACGGCGCGTGTGCAGCAACTGGAGGTATGGGCACCGGGACGATTTGAGATGGTGTTATTTACTATATACTCACCTGCACATGTGATTCTGTGGATGGCGACGGGTACGACGAACTGGATAGCGATGGTGGTGGTCATGGGATTGGTGTGGGCACAGGTACGTCAGACACGCGATGGATAAGGTTGGCGCTGAAGCGGTTGCAGCTAAACGCGATGGTGTACTGGTACTCTGGATTGGTGAAGGACAAGGAGATCATTGCAGCAGAGGTGATGAATGAATACAATCAAGGGGTGGGTGAACATGCGCTGACCGGTGCTTTGCTGACTTTTTCACAGTTTGTGTATCCGCGGATCATGCCGATTCGGCGGGATGTGGCGGTGATGACACACGAGTCGGAGATTGTGAACGTGTGGGAGTAAACAAAAGTAGCACAGCCACGATATTATGTCGAGATATGAAAATCAACATTCGCTGCCTGGTGTGTGGCTAGTGTGACTGAGGAACATTAATGCAACGTTGACGCATTCCAGGGTTTCGATCCTGATGGCACGCCGCGCCGCAGTGGCTGCTTTAGGAAACAACGTTGCAGGTTCACTCATCCCGACGACCCAGGTTGGGCCACTGCCGCCGCTCCCAGTGCTAATCGTCGCCGCTCCCAGTCCCCGCCACCAAAGCCACCGTCTGAATCTACAGCTACAATGGCTCCCCTTCCCCCTTTGCCGACTCCTCCAGATGCCCTTACAAAAAAGCCCCCTCCCCCGAAAAACCAAGAACAACTTCGTGCTCTCTGGGAGGAGAGAATAAAGCAAGCACTACTTTTTTTCGTGCCTTTTACCTTTCTCAATATCTCTCCAGGATTCTTGCCGGATCTACTAGCCTTCGTCACCAGCTTGCAAAAGTCGAAGAGGACATTGCAAGCACTCGCGTTTTGATCGATTCATTTCATTACTCTACTTTTTCGGAAGATGCAAAGGCGCGCATCAATGATGATTTGGCGCAGCTTGAACGCCAGCGTGATGAGATCAAAAAGCGACGTGAAGACGACATCGCGCAGCTCATCAAAGCCGATTCTTGGCCTGCTACTCCGCTCACTGATTCCGAAAACAAGGAACTCGACAAATATCATGAGATCAGAAAGAACGTCGCTCAGCTCCACGAGCAGGTAGAGTCTATAAATGCCATCCTCACCAAGCTTCGAGAGGGGACAGATTCAGATTCCAATGCCATGGATGTCGATTCCCAGGAGGGGCCCTCTTCTCGCCCTCTTAAGCGCCGTCGTGGTGATGACTCTGACCCAGTCCCGGAAAATGAGCCGGGTCCGACAAAGGAGCAACTCGAGGAAATGAAGGGCAGAATTGCCGAGTTGGAGGGTACTTTTTCCTCGTTCTCCAATGATCTGGTTGCGCGCGATGAGGAAATTCAGCAGCGAATCGAAGCAGAAGTCGAGTCCCAATTGGACAAGGCGTCCTCCAAAGAAAATGATGTGTATGAAGCGGTCTCTGCTGATGTTAAACAAACTGGCGAAGAGATTGGTACTATGGTGTCTGAGTTGGCTCAGTTGATGTTACAAGCAGACGACCAAAAGAAGGAATTGGAAGCCGTTAGAGCACGCATTGCAACGTCACAAGCTCAGTTTAAAGAGGTATGTACATACAATCATGCTGACATGAGGTACCGTTCATCTCCGGTTGTGTAGATGCAAAACAAGTTTCATAAGCTCGAAGAAGAACGTCAAAAGGATCAGAAAACCATTGCGGCACTGGAGGAGGCAGTGAAGACTTACACTGAAGATCCACCGCAGCCTGCTGTGCCCGGCCTCACACACGACCAGATCATTCATCTTATGGATGAACCGCTGCTGGATATCGTGCGAGCTCATATTCAGCCCCTGCTTGAGCAGCTGCGCAATAAGGTTCAAGAAATGCTTAACACGCAGAACTCGGAGATGTACAAAGCATTGTGGGGAAAGCTCTCGCTTACCTTGCGGATGGTCGAAACGATCTCGAAGCGTCTTGAACGTGTTGATCAAGGCCCAGCTTCAGCAGCACCGAATGTAGTTTAGTCCTTCAGTTGTAGTACATTATGTTCACCTCGAGGCCTTGCCTGCAGCTCGTTACGCGATATCTGCCTTTGTGACAGTTTTCCTGTCAGCCCGTGTAGCTCAGGGGTTTAGAGCATTGTACTTATGAGGCTATCTGGCCAGCTTGCGAGATGCAAGGGTCCCGAGTTCGATTCTCGGCGTGGGCATTTTTTGCTCCTTATGTCACCTAGTTTCAATTTCTAAACTGGCCAATGCGATATATATGCAAGGCATTTTTAATTGGAAGCATCGCACCTGACTTTGAGTAAATCGCCTCACACTTGATACTTGCATCTGTTTTGTTTCACTTTCCTCTCAAATTCTTCTTCTTAACCTCATAAAACACAATAAGGAACTCTGCTATGTCTAGATGCATTGATGCAGGTTGAGATTTACAAGTGAAGCACTAATTAGATATGCGTGTATTATATCTGGGGAGGCGCCCCCATCTCCTCAGGCGTCAAAGAAGGACTCTCAATCATCACACCAACGCCGACCTTGGCAGCATTCTATGGAACTAATATCAGTTCTTCACCCTCGCGAGACCAGAAGTCGCATACGCACCTTGAAGTGGTCAATCTCACCTGACACCAAGAACGCGAAGGCGGGAGCAAATCGTTGCTCCAGCAACGCTGAGACTTTTCCTGTCGAGTCAACCTGTGCCCTAAAAGTTGACAACCGAAGGTCATACTTGGCACCCAAGGTTGCCAGAGCGTCTCGTCGGGCAGGGGTGGCTAATAATTGCAGGTCAGCTGCCACCTCAACTTTATCGCTGAGTTTTTGCCAATAGGTTGCCTGAAGGACACCAGCCGCCTGGATTTGGGCCGTAGCAATACAGTTCTTGTTGGTTGAAGTGTATTTCGCAAGGTACGACGTGGTGAGTTCTGACGTATCCGGCGATGGCCGTTGGAAGAGTGTCTCAAATCCGAGAGCGATGTTTTTCGTGAAAGATTGGAGGTAGCTGCCAACAAAGATACCGGTCATGTCTGTTGGCCAGGGATTGATAGCCTTGGCGTTGAGACTAAAGTCCTGGCCCTGATATTCGTGCTCCATTTGAATCATGTTCTGGCTCGTTTGCGAGGAAAACTTTGAAAGGGTACACGTCATACAGTGAACGGCCGACATAGTAGAAGTTCATTCGTACCTGCGCCTGCACTTTGCTGACGTTCTTTTCCGACCATCCTTGGTTGTATCGAGCATTTACATTGCCTTCATGATCAACACCTCCTTGGAGGAAAACCTGTGAAACGTTTAATGACCCGCGGGCATCCAAAAACTTCATACGAGCATACTTCTTGATTGGCAAATACTGCACCGAAATTATATGACGATGGCATCGTTTGTGAGCCCAGTGCAAAAGAGTGCGTGACCTGGAACAGAGGGTTCGCAGACAAACTCTTCGTCAAGTCGGCACGAGCGCCATCGAACATATAGTTAGTCAAATGGGTAGCTATGGTGCAGAACAGCCATGAATCTACGATTCCATAGTCCAAACACGGTGACGTACCTTTAACCTCCTTCTGGAGGTTTTCAACTGTGCCAGGATGGGGTAGACCGAGGTCTGTTCGCCATTGGTTGAAACGGTCAAACATATCGGTGAAGGGAGATATGGGATTGAAGTAAGAAGACTTGGAAGGAAGAGAGGGAGTGAAAGGGATGTCCCCTCCTTTCTCGGAATGTGAGGCGGACTCCATGACCGAATGACCTGAAATTTGTTGTGACTGTTGGCACTCCAGAGAAAAAGTCTTTGCCAAATAGATCCAAGCAGTGCCGTTGCCTTGCACGTGACCATACCGACGAGTGGGCGGGGCGCGCACACCCGCAGTGTCGAACCTCTTTGGTTCAGTATCAAATCGGTTTGACGGGCCTTGGGCTTTTTACTTCTTCTATGACACGTTGAAGATGCATGATGATGAACAGGACACAGTGGGTAACATGATTACCACTACTCCACCAGATGATCTTCTAGAACAAATTTGGTGGGAACTAATCCCAATGTGTAGCGCGCTCAATGGCGCTACGGAAACATATCGATGACAGTAGTAGTAATTTTTTGACCCCAGGTACGGGCACTGTCTTATCGGATATTGGCTGTGATATACGACCTTGGACCTGATCAAAACGACTCCACTGGGAGCAGTTCAACAACCGCCCTGCGTGCAAGGGTAAGTTCATAATCATTATCTGCCAGTCATCGCCATCTTGCGACAGGACACAGGAGACACGCGGGTCTTATAATATGGCACATCCGCAGCAATGATGGTGATGCTTCTTTAACCCCATGCTGTTCCTTATTTCGCTGTGATCGTTGCAAAACGTTCCTAAACGCATCTAGTCCGACTCCGAGACTCGCACTCCAACCGGGTTATATTAAGACTTCCAGATCCTAACTTTTCACATATATTCCCACCTGCGGAAACTATGACATAAAGATCCTTCGTGGAGTGTTTCCCTTCATTGACGCTGCTCTTCACACTCCGAGGTCTTATGCTCACGCCTAGACGATTCATTGCCGGTGTCCTGCTGTTGGTGGTAAGATGTTTTTCCCGAGTGTCTGGTGTGTCTCATTATGAAACGTCTTAGTCGAGTTTGCACTTTTTCCTTAGACTCGTCATCAAGGATTATGAGACGTTCACTGCGCAAATATCTGAACAATTTCGTTCCCCTCCACGATTGTTACAAGTCGATAATCACTTAAACACATCACATACACTACAAGTTTACGAAGAACCTCCTAGAGAAAGCACCAATTTCACCTACCAACGGCGGGCTAATGCGACCTTCGTCTTGCTCTGCAGGAACAACGAAGTGCAGGGTGTTGTATCAAGTATACGGCAAGTGGAAGATAGGTTCAATAGGAATTATCACTATCCATGGGTGTTACTCAATGAGGAACCATTTACGGACGAATTCAAGAAGTAAATCAATCTCTTCTTGCTGATGCGATCATCCCTGCTCATTGGCCGATAGACGAGTTTCTATTCTCACAGATGCACCCATTTCGTTTGGATTGATTCCCAAAGAACATTGGTTCCAGCCGGACTGGATTGACGAAGACAGAGCTAGCGAAGGGAGAACAAAACTAATGTGGCAAGGCATCATCTACGCCAGTAGGTTGCTGCACGCAAAAATAGATCTTCTTCTAATGACCTGGGTATCTGATAGGCAGTGTACCGTTCGTTTTCCTGATCTACCTGTTGAATACAACTTGATATATCGCATAGGTACCGCAATATGTGTCGCTTCAATTCTGGTGTGAGTTTGTTCCATTTTCATCTCACGTGTCGTGTTCACATAACTTTTGTATATATTTGAAGTTTTTCTTCCAACATGAGCTCTTACAACCCTACCGCTATTATTGGAGGTTAGTCTATTTCTGTCTTGACGCGATCTTCAGTTAAAAACAAGTTCGTAGGGTTGAGTATGTTCAACTACGCCTCCTCCAATGATATCTAAATTGGTGCTACGACAGGCCTGGTGTCAAGTTCTTTTGTGACATCCCTTATGACCCCTTCCTCTATATGGAGGATAACGACAAAGTTTACGGTACGTATTATGTAGCACGCAGTCTTCTTTTCCTTGATTTGTTTGTAGGCTTCACAATTTCTCTTGTAGAATGGGAGGCAACTATCCCCAGTCTTTGGTCTACAGTAAAAAGTGCGATTGTTCTTAATAATCGTACTGAGAATTATTCATGGACGGTCTTCGATTCGTCAGAATTCGTATCTCTGCATCCTGAATATGTAGCTCGGGAGAACTCGATGGCTTTCCTTTCCGACGATGGTGGTGAAGGCTATAACTTGTGCCACTGTGAGCGGATCCATTCATTTCGACCTTGAAGAAAACGAAGTTTCTCAACATTATTCTGACAGATTGGAGTAATTTTGAGATCGCCGATATGGATTTCTGGCGGGGTGAAGCTTACCAAGCATTCTTCAAATATCTTGAAGCGACAGGGGGTTTTTACTATGAGGTTAGTGTAAGTTAGCTCGTGGAGTCTCGGTCAACGAATTCTCTATTCGTAGCGTTGGGGTGATGCACCAGTTCATAGCATGGCAGCGTCGCTATTTGCAAACAAAAGCCAGATCCACTTCTTCCGAGATATCGGTTATCGACACGATCCTTTTCAACATTGCCCCCAAGGTGACGCCTGGATTCGAGGACGATGTTCCTGTGATCCCCGCGACAATTTCGGTGAGCTTTGAGGATCCTGAAGCTCGAGGTTGTTCTCATCTAGTTTAGACTATGTCCCAAATTCGTGTACCAAGAGATACGAAGATCTCTTTATGTAGTGTTAGACGCCCGTACTTTAAAGTTTTAATATCTAATACAAAAGTTATGATACAAGACTACTGCCATACTTATTGGTGTGTCGTTTTGATTACCATGGTCATCATACTTGGGTCATACATAGCAACTGCACATCTGATCGGGATCACCCACGTGATGCTGTTGCAGCTTCATCATTGTCGCGGATACCTTACATAGCCTTACCCACAAGCGTGCTTACTTTCTTCTGTCTTCCTGCTCTGTTGAACAGATTTCTTCTCTTTCTAACATGAACGCACAAATGCGTTACGTGCTCCTCGTGCTGGCTGTTATTGTAAGTCCTCCGTGCGTTTTGCGGGTTAGCCTTTCTAAGTTGCCGTTTAGATCAGTCTGCACTACATATTCAGCTTCTCCAACGAAAAGTACGGCCAGGCAACGTCATTTTCTAATATCAAGGAGAAAATCACCGGCTCCTCTGGCAAGCCACCATACATGGATCCTATCCCAGAAGAGTACTATATTAAGACGAATAAGACCGAGCCACCAAACCGGAGAGCCAATGCTGTTTTCGTTATACTTGGTGCGTTGTTTGTATAGAATGCGGTAATGCTTTTTTGACTTCGAGCTTAGCGCGCAACTCTGACTTGAACGGGGTCGTCAGCAGCATGAAACAGATGGAAGACAGGTTCAACAAAAAGTTTCAGTATCCGTATGTCTTTCTAAATGACCAAGAGTTCGAAGAGAGTTTCAAGAAGTAATGCACGGTTGGATATCTTCCTAGACGTGCTTCTGATGCTATATTCAGACGTGTTTCTAAATTGACTGATGCTAAAGTCGAGTTTGGTGTCATACCGCGCGAGCATTGGGTTCAACCAGATTCCATTGACGAGGGAAGGGC